GCTTCTTTTGTTTCTCCTTTCTTTTCCGCATTCCCAACAGTTGTTTTGGGTCCTTCTTCAGATTTAATAGCTTGACAGTAGCCCCCTGCTACCTGTCATGTGCATGGAGCAGCTTGAAAATGATTCTTGCAAGTTGACTACTCCAGCACCTTCCCGTTTTTGTCAGTTTTGAGTATCAGCCCATGATTTCGTGGGCATCTTCCTTTGACTGCTTTTGGGTATCCATATCAATTTAGAACCATTTTGATCTGAGTTGATAGATCTACAGCCATAATGAGGATTGGCTATATTTTGTTGAACATTATTCCTTATAGGGGAAGGAATATGTGTATTTGTAGTGATCAGTCTTTTCTTTGGAATGTAGTTGGTCCTTTTGATTGGTTGGTTGTTTTGGGAGATGAAAATGTAGGGAAGTTTGGATTTTGATCTGGAGGAGGACTGGATCCTTTTATTGGAGAGAGTCTGGGAGTGTGGTTTTAGTTGGGTGGGTTTCCTTGTGTCTTGTTGTTTTGTGGTGGTTTTTGTGATAGGAGAGTATTTCAATGGTTGGGATGAGGGTGTGTCTCCTGATCCTGTCTTCTTTAAGTCTTGAATTTCCTCACCAATAGGAATAGTGAGGGAGCTCAGCCTTTCTTTTAAACTGATGTTCTCAAGTTCAAGAAAATCTTTCATTTTTATTACTTCACCCATTTGAGCTTGGGCTACTATTAGATTCTCTTGAAGTCTACAGTTTTCGTTCATTAAAAGTAGGTGATTCTTTTGAAAGTTTTCAAATTGATGGAGTAGAGCTTCCATGTCTACACTGGATTGGCTAGAATCATATGAGCTATTTGAAGAACAGGAAAATACCTCATCATTGTCATTATCAGTGGATCTGGCCATAGAAAGGTTGTTGGAGATTTCAGCATGGTGCATTCCATAGAGACATATCAGAGTCTCTGATGAACTGCTTTTATCTCTTGAGCCATTTTGATAGTCAACTGATTTGATAATTGTAAGCTCATCCTTTTCATCCTTGGTTCTCCAGTCATCATATTTGTTTTGGTTGGACAAAAGATTCTTTGTCAATTGTTTGTCCATATTTAGAAAGTGTGTTGGGAAGTGGAGTGGTTTGGATCTTTAGTTCAAATTAGTCAGAAACTGACTCTAGGAACACACTCGCTCTGATACCACTTGATGGTCCCGGATAGGGTAAAAGTCTAGAGGGGGGGGGGGGGTGAATAGACTTTTAAATCTTTTTCAATTTAATGAAGTTTTTCCTCTAGATGAATTGATCTATAATCTTTTGAGAGATTAATAGATGCACAGCGGAAGTCTTTACCCTTTATGCGATGAGAGTTTGATCACTTTCTAATTTTGGAGGATTGGACTTTGAACAGTGAGCAGTTGGCTTGGCAGTTGCCTGGATGGCAGGAAACTGCTGAGGCAGCTGCTAGTGGAAAACTGGAGTTTGGAAGAGATAATTATATGGCCTTGAACAGAATGATGAGGACTTTATGAATATGTGTAGAGCTAAAGAGAATAAGGGGTTTTGCCTGAGCAGAGGTCTGAGCAGTCGGGTAGACTCGGGGAACTGCTAAGCCGTCTGCTATCTATGAAGGAGTATTTCTGAGAACTGGCAAGCCAAACCTTTTTGCAGTGGTATTCCAAAGCTCTGAGGGAAACAGATGTCTCAAGGAAAAGTGAGTTATTAAGCAGTAGGATAAGCAGTAGAGTCAATTATGACGACTGCTTAGGATGCTGCTGGCAAACTACGATTCCTTTAATGAGAAGTGTTGAGTGTGTGCTCTGTTGAGTAAAGGATAATCAACACACGATGTATCCTGGTTCAGAGGTGGTGTAATCCTCCTACATCCAGTCCCATTCTCTTTCAAATGGATTTCCACTAAAGTATTCAGCCCAATACACTTAGTGCCAATCTAGCCTTTACAACACTTAGGCCTAGATTGAAGGTTTTTCACGATGAGTATAACACCACTCAAAGTTACTCAGTCCTTAGACTTTTCTCAATTGATCCAGTGGGGATCAAAAGGTACTCTATCTATCTAACTACACTTTAGGATCCGAACAACTGTTCTCCTAAGTGTTTACAACCACTTGAATAATACAAGAAAGTTCTAGCCACCAACTAAAAACTAAGCTCTATAAATATGAAAGTGAAGAACTAGTCTAAGAGCTTAGTGAAGCATGAGTCAAAGCAGAGAGTGAGGTTGTGATCAAGCACTTTCTCTTTTGCTAGATATACTTTGTGATTATAGAATCTCTTTGCTTTGAACTCAATGACTTGATTTTTTCAACTCATGCTTCGGCCTTTATTTATAGGCATTTCTGGTTGATTAATGTCATCCGTTGGTTAAGATGATTTAATCATGAACGTTGAATCTTGATCGCAGAAGATAAACAACTTGTTGTTTATTTTCTTCTTCAGAGCTGATGGGTTCTTTTTGTCTTGTTTGCCTAGCCACTGTAGCTTTTCCATTTCAAGTTGACTGTGCATCCCATGCTGTACGTCTTGGATAATCACGAGACAAACACTCGAATGTATAATTTTTAAGTTCAATAAAATTTATACTGGTAGGATTTAAATATCCTATTAAGGTAAATAATTTTTACCTTATTGCATTTTTAATTTCCAGCATTAATTTTATTGGTCTTTAAAAATTATACATTTATTTGTTCTCAATCAGACACATGTAAATTTCATACCTATGTGTCTTTTGTTTTTGTGACGATTAAAAATGTTTGTGATAAAGTAAATATATACCGGTAGGATTTAAATATCCTTTAAGGTGAAAATTACCTTATTGCATTTTTATTTTTCCGGTATAATTTACTTCATACAAACATTTTTCTTTTGACTTTTGGTCACACTTGGTTGTGTATGGCTGATCAAGTATTTCGAACATAAACTGAATACTTTTAACTGGTAGGATAACAAATCCTATTAAGGTAAAAATTATTACCTTATTGCATTTTGTATTCCAGTTAACTAATCAGTTTAGTTGTTCGAAATATTTTTGTGTCATTTGATGTAACAAATAAATTTAACTGGTAGAATCTATAAGGGATGCCTTTTAAGGTAATAAAGTATTACCTTATCATAGATGACTGTTTTCCAGTTATATTTATTTGTTAATTGTTAATTTGAGCAGAACACTTGTCGATAGTTGCATAACATTTGAATGCTACAAAAGATGGAAGATATCAAAACTAAGGCATCATCAAAATCTATCAAAATCTAGGGCTAACAGTTAGTTTTTTTTCCTTTTGAAAACATTGTTGATGCATTAAACTTACTACATTTTCTCCAGGTGAACTAGAAAGTTTGTTGTCTGTAAGTGCATTAGTATTAATATGTTGGTGCATTTTTTATGTCTTAAACCGAGCAAGCAGGACCTTAGTAGAGAAGCCTGCTCTACGAATGAGAAGTGTGAACAAGAAAACTTCTCAGGTCACCTTGCTCCAGTAGCGTGCTAGAGAAACACTCTGTACGAGTATTGTAAAGTATCACCTTATTCCAGGGCATTGTTGTCTTTTTTAAATTTCTTTAACTCTAACTAACACACTGTTTAGTGTTAGGGTGCAAAAACAAATGGTTTTCAAATTGGGGTGCAAAGTCAAATTTGTTCAATAAAGTGGGGTGTTAAGTCCAATTCCCCCTTTTATTTGTTAAGACTCATTTTTATAATATCCTATATAACAGATTTATAAAAAATGTCATAGGGGGTTTGTGGGTGTGAGGATGGTTGTAGTTGGAGCTTATAATTGCAAAAAAGATGGATAATGGGGTCAAAACGGTTTTTTGAATGTCGAACTTTGGTCAGAGGCGTTTGACGGAGGATTTTGATGCAGGGCTTCACTTTTTGGAACTACAAAGCGGATCGATCTTCGTTAGATGTTCATCGAAGAAGCAGATGAAAAATTTCTGGTGCGAAGCTCGATCGATCTTCTGGTGCGAGGGGAAGAAGCACAAAAGCCAAAAAAAGGCCGGTTGTACCGTGCGCACGGTACAACCGGCTATAGGATGTATTTTACCCACAAAAAGCACTTATTTTACCAAACACTACCAACTTTTACTTTTCAAAATCACTTTTTTCTCAAACACTATCAACTTTTACTACTAATCACTTTTTTCTTACATCTCCAAAAGTGCTTTTTTTAAGCAGAAGTAGTTGCAAACACTCCCTTATAGTGGTGACCGGTGAGGAGATCAGAATGTTAAAAATGGACTCCGTTCAAAAGTATTGTTTAAACTCTTATTCTCCAACATTTTAGTACCGTCAATTTTTTTTCTTTTTTTCCTTTTCTTTTTTTTACTCAGGGGGGGGGGCTGGGGGTTGGGGGTTGGGGGAGCCTGTAGTAATCAGGGTTGAAACTCACTCCATAGAGTTTCCAACCCTTGTGTGCCTGGCGGGATTCGAACTCGAGACCTCCCACTAGGCACGGTAACCTCACAACCAGCTGAGCCGGAATGCTTGATTTTTTAGTAGCGTCAATAAGATACACTCAACATATTTTTTTTAGATATCAATTTTGTAAAACATTAATTAAACTATTATAAGTAATGTTTTCATTTTAATTTTTCCCTGAATAATTATGAAATAAAAAATTCACATTTTGATGTAAATTAAGCTAATTTCATTAATTTTTTTAACGTTTTTGGGTAACAAAAAATGATCTTACTTCTAGTAAAGTTCGATTATGGAATATTCAGTTATTTGTGAAGGTCCCATGAATTACAAATTTGTGTTTCGTGTTTTTTCATTTAAAACTTCATATTTTTTTCATTTTATATACATAGTATTACATATTGTTGTCATATGAAAGATTATAGGATTCAAGAATTTTCATATATATTTTGAAACATTTGGAGAACAAATAAAAAAGTTGTACAAGTTTAAAAACATGGGGTTTGTCCTCAAATAATACTAATTAAAAGCATTTGGACAAAAAAAGAGACTTTTCTTTTAAGTTCCAAAAATAAGACTAAATAATACTTAAGGGACTATTACACCCTTACTAAGCCCAAACCCACTGGTCTGCTACCGTAACCCGTCACAGTGACCAAATGTGCAGTGACCAATGTTACAGTTACCAATGACATAGTTACAAAATTCATCCAGTGACCAAAAATGACCAAATTATATCCTAACAGTGACATGTCAGCTACAGTGACCTCCGCGGCCGGTCCCTGTGACCTCCGCCGCCGGTCCCAGTGACCTCCGCCTTCGTCCGCCGCCGGTTCCAGTGACCTCCACCGGCGGTCACAGTGACCATTTAGTCAGTTACCAATTCGCACCCGTCCCATGCCACCAGTGACCAGTATCTCACTGCCACGGTCAGTGGCCAATTGGCACCCGCCCCGCCCCCGCAAGTAACCAGTACCCCACTGCCCCTGTTGGTCTCGCCCCCGCCAGTAACCAATTCGCATTTGTCCCACCCCCGCTAGTAACCCGTCTTGCCGCGTCAGTGATAAGTCCGCACTGCTGCCAGCGACCACTCCTCCGCAGCCATTAGTGACTCGTCCCTGCCCCCACCAGTTCTCTGCCGCCGCCGTCCCCTCCCAGTTACAAACCACCCAAACACCAGCCTGCTTCCATCCCCTTCTCCATCTGTACCAGCTCCCTCTAGCCCCCTCCCCCACAGCCCTGACCTATCTCCATCATAAGCCCTGACCAGCCCCAACCCTAGCCACCAAATGCAGTTGCAAATCGTTGCTCCGTCGCAATCCCGACCATCCATAATCGCCGCCGCTGTCCCCCAGCCCCATCACATTCCTCGGGAACCATAGACCTAACCGCCGTCACAGATCTTAAACCTAATTTCTTCCATCGCCGCCGATCTAAAGTTGTATCCATCTTCGACATCTGAGACTCGTCCTCATCACATTTAATCGAACAGAAATTAAAAAAGAAGGAGAAGAGCAGAGGGCGGCGACTTAGAGGCAGAGAACACAACCTAGAACGGAGGCGGAAGCGGAGATTACGACTGGAAGCAGAGGCGAAATGGAGGCGGAGAACGCAACCTAAAAGCAGATGAAGGGAGAAGCTTTGTGCGCTGGGTTGCAGGTGAGAAGGAGATTGGTCGCTGGGAGGGCTGGGTTCGTAGACGGGAATAATTTGGGGCTAATTTTGTCAGTTTACTTTTAATTAATCTCTTTTTGGTCCAAATTCAAGTTCACTCCTATTTTCGTCCACATGAAAGTCGGTGGTCCTGTTTTGGTCATTCTTTCTAAAAACATTTGGGTAATAATGATACATGCATGATGCAAGGATGACGTCATCATGCATGCGCCTCATCCGCTCCCCTTTCTTTTCCTTTTCCTTTTCTTTTTCTTTCCGCCTATTAATCCACCCTCCATTTATACACCCTCTATCACCTTTTCCATTTTTAATACCTCATTTAACCTACCACTACTTTAAATCAGGAGTCTAAAAAATTTTTCTTTAATATTTTGGACTCCTAATATTACACCACTACAAATGGTCTGAAGACACGATGATAGAAATTCATTACCCATCTGCCCCTTCCAAAATATAGATTTTTTCAAAAATAGAACTAACCAGTTTCAAATGTCTTAAACAAGGTTTTTTTTGTGATTGGATCAAAATAATATTATAGTGCTGCGGCACTAATATCCCAAGGTTGTTGACCGCCTTCAGAATATTTGTCAATTTTTTTTCCACCGGCCTACCAGAAATTCACCGCCGCCCGGCTGATCCACCACCAATGGATTGACCTTAGTTATGCAAGGGCACTAGGGGACAATTAATTAGGTTAATTAATTAATAAAATTAGGGATAGAAATAGAATGATAAATACTAAGGATTATTAAAAAATCAAATATATGGTCATATTTTTAAAATAATTCTACGTTTTGGTCCTACCAAGAGAAAATTCCTCTATATTTATTAATCATAAATATAAATATAATGAATCTGATCCAACAACTACAAATACATACAACAATATATGTTATACCGTGTTAGAATGTGTAATACTCATATTGATATTTTAGAATGTTTTTAGTTTATTAAATCTGGTCTTGTTTGATCTAAACTCTTAACTAATTTGATTGGTTGATGCTTCTTTAATGTAGATTTACAATTGTTGGAGTTTGATCTAATTTGGTGTGACCTGTTCCACTATGGTATGATGTAGAACTAAAACCGGTCCAATTAAAAAAATCTTTAGTGAATAAGGAACATGCTCAAAAATTTTCATCAAAAAAAATGATTTGAATGCCTTCCCGATCGAATTTTGAGCTGAAATGTGGTATGGACAAACTAGACTTGATGAGGAACATGCTCAAAAATTTTCATCAAAAAATTTCACCGGGAAGGGCCCCAAACGGGGATGTTCGGACGGAGTATCCTGTCCGAACGTTCGGACTGGATCATTTTTGTAAGTTATACTACCTATGTAGTGGTATATCATTAGTATTTAAGAAAAAATCTCTTCCCTAACTACGATTGTTATACTATGCCGTATAAATGTAGGAGTTTGTCTTAGAAGCTGTTCTCTTCGCCTGATCTGAATGTTTCTGATCTGAATTTTTTAAGTTCTGATCTGATCTGATCTGAATTTTTCTGATCTGATCTGATCTGATCTGAATCTTTCTGATCTGATCTGATCTGATCTGAGTCTTGAACTCGGGCCGGGTGGCCCGACCCGGAACCGGCTCGGGACCAGTACTGTGCTGAATCGGCCCGGCCCGGTGGCCCGGCCAGTGACTGGTCCAGGTAGACCCAGCCCGGGGGGTTCCCGGTGCGGGCTCGGTCACCCAAAAGCTGAACCGGCCCGACCGGTTTGGGCCCGGTTCCGGGCTTTTTAATTTTTTTTTCAATTTTTTTTTTCTTTTCGGGTTGGGTATTTTGGGCCACTTGGGGCGGTTTGGGGGGTTAGGAGTTGGGGGTTAATTAGAAAAAGGGAAAAAAAATTTGACCCGAGGCCCGTCCCGTCCCGGCACGGACCCGGACCAGACCCGGTGGCTACCCGGGCCGCTCCCGGGCCTCCTTCAAAAAACCCGAGGCCCGACCGGGCCTAGGCCCGGCCCGGGTTCATGACTACTTTGTCTCCTTAGATTACTAAAATATCAATTTTGGATAAAAAAGACAATCTTATGAACTTTGAAAAATAGACTAAATACATAAGTATTAGAATTGGAAACTCATAAATGTATGATGTGAAATTACCCTACAAAGTCCAAAGATCTCCATCCAGAGCCACCCTGGTGACCCGCACTGTAACACTTGAGATTTAATATAAACGGATTAATAGTACTACTCATACCAACAAGATGCATCTCCTTTTAAGGGAGCTCATCACCAAGAACTCCAAAGTTAAGCGTGCTTGCACGGGAGTAGTCTTGGGATGGGTGACCCCCTGGGAAGTTTCTCAGGGCGCGCACGAGTGAGGACAAAGTGCGCGTAAAAGCCTAGTGGCGGTTTGTGAGGACAGTACTAGAGGTCTGGAGGGTGTGTATGAGTAACTACCTCGGGCCCTACGGGGCGGGGTGTTACAAGTGGTATCAGAGCAACCCTGCGACAGTGTGCTGATCCGTTGGATATCGGGCAGACACCTAGCAGGGGAAAAGATTCTGGGGTTTGATTGAGATTGGTTTAAGGGCGCAACGAGGACGTTGCGATCCTAAGTGGGGGTGATTGTAACACTTGAGATTTAATATAAACGGATTAATAGTACTACTCCTACCAACAAGATGCATCTCCTTTTAAGGGAGTTCATCACCAAGAACTCCAAAGTTAAGCGTGCTTGCACGGGAGTAGTCTTGGGATGGGTGACCCCCTGGGAAGTTTCTCAGGGCGCGCATGAGTGAGGACAAAGTGCGCGTAAAAGGCTAGTGGCGGTTTGTGAGGACAGTACTAGAGGTCTGGAGGGTGTGTATGAGTAACTACCTCGAGCCCTACGGGGCAGGGTGTTACACGCACCAACCCAATAACCCCACCTGTAATGGCAGCTATAGTTAATCAAATACCAAAAATTTTAAGGAGTCCCATATGACTTCCTTATGGAGTCATATGGGGTATTGTGGCACCATCATCACCATTCATTTATTTAGTGGAGGACCCCACAAAATAAATGAATGGTGATTGTGGTGTCACAATACCCCATATGACTCCATAAGGGAGTCATATGGTGTTCCATAAATCTATTCAATCAAATACTACTTACTAATTCTATTTAGAGCATCTCCAATGGACTCGCTGTTCACATTAAAATAGTTGCTACGTCATCCGAATTTAACATTGCCGCATAATTTCATCTCAAGTGCAGGATGTTCACCCTTATATAATGCTGACATGTCAAAAATTAATAGGTAGATTCTATGGTACCCTTAAGGTACCATACCTTTGTCCACATGGACCAATAAGAATGGTGCACTTGAATTATTTAAATCTAAATTAAAAAGGATATAATGATTTGGACCAATCAAATGGATGATAGGTACGGTACCTCATTTTTTAAATGGGTACCGGAATTGTTACCAATATTGACACTGTTTTCATCACGGTCATCATACAACAGCGCCTTTGACATGATGACTCAGCACAAACGTGAAGCAGATAACTTCTCCCATTGATACATATGTGCTTACCAAAAAATCATTCACCTCACATCCCCTAGAGTAAAGCTTCTGCAGAGAGCCATAGCCCAAAGTCACTAATTTCCCTTCTTCCAATAATTTAATTTCTCATTAGGTATATAAATTCCTTAAATTTATGGAGATTTCCTTTTTTTTTAGTTCAATGGATTAAGGGTTTTAGGCGTAAAAAGATTAAGCCCTCAGTATGCCTACCGTGCTCTACGTAAAAAAAACTGTTAATTATCACGATTAGGCTAAGATAAACGATAAATTTAAAGCAAGAACACAAGAATTTACGTGGTTCACGCAATCGGTGTGATTACGCTAGTCCACGGCGAACGAGAGAGAGATGTATTATTATTCCAGCGTCTGGTATGTTTACAGATACATTAGGGATGTTTAAATAGGTTTAAGAAAGCCTAAACAAGGGTTAAAGCCGCAGGCCCAAAAATTAATCCCGTCATTAATTTTCCCGTATACTCGATCGAGTATACATACATACTCGATCGAGTATAGATTCCAGAATTCTGCCCGAGTAATGTTTTTACACATACTCGACCGAGTATACCTCCATACTCGATCGAGTATAAACTCCAGAATATAACCCGAGTAACCCTTACACGCATACTCGACCGAGTAATGATCAATACTCGATCGAGTGTAGAAACCAGAGAAATACTCGACCCATCAAACACCTCATACCCGATCGGGTAACCCAACATACCCGGTCGGGTACATACTCCTGCAATCCAAACAAGGCTCCATCTTCAACAATCTCCCACTTGGAGGCTTGTTCAACAGTCATCTGCCATCCAAGAACATGTATCTTCTGCAACACCCCTGATCTCTATCTCTCGTTCACACCTTCCCATCAAGTATCTGGAAGGCCAGTTGAAGCCATGCATAGCTTCAACTTCTCCGTTGTCACCACCTTGGTAAGCATGTCTGCTGGATTCTTCGTACCAAGGATCTTCTTCAAGTTTATGATACCGTCTTCAATCAACTCTCGGATAAAATGGTATCGCATCTTGATGTGTTTCGTTCTGCTGTGAAACACTGGATTCTTCGCGAGATGAATAGCACTCTGGTTGTCACAGTATAGACCGCAATCCCCCTGTTCCATGCCCAACTCCGAAAGAAAGTTCTTCAACCAGATCAACTCTTTGGCCGCTTCAGCAATAGCCATATACTCTGCTTCTGTGGTCGAAAGAGCCACACTCTTTTGAAGTCTAGACATCCAGCTGATCGCCGTACCTCCAATTGTGAATATGTAACCCGTAGTGCTCTTCCCGGAATCACAACAGCCCCCCCAAATCAGCATCAGCAAATCCTTCTAGAATTACTCCATTCCTCCTGAAACAAAGAGCAGTTCCAGAAGTGCCTTTCAAGTAGCGTAGCAGCCACTTGACTCCTTCCCAATGTTCCTTCCCTGGATTCGACATGAACCTGCTAACAACTCCCACTGCATGAGCAATGTCCGGCCTTGTTGACACCATTGCGT